CTCTGAAGAACATAGAACAAGTTCACAAAACCCATTTTTTTTGTTGAAATTGCTGAATTGCCAGSCAAAATAACAGAAAATATTTTGAGTCATAATGTTTTGATCATTAACTCCAACACAGTAACACAACTGCAAAAGCCCTGAATGGTTTGGGTTGGAAGGGACTTTAAATCCCACCCAGTCCCACCCCCTGCCATGGCCAGGGGCACCTTCCACTAGATCAGGTTGCACCAAGCCCCGTCCAACCCAACTCTGGACAATTCCAGGGATGGCAGTGYTCTAACTGCTGAAGGATAATCCAAAAATCCTGAACACTGATTTAAACCCTTGACCCAAAATTAGATCAGGTCAATGAATAAGGAGCCAAAAAGGCAATGCTGTCCAATAGTTGGTGGCCAAATACTCCCATCAACAAGCTTCCCTTCCCATCAGAGCTGACATTCTGTGGTACAAGAGCCAGCAATGCTGGCCCTAAAGTCTGATTCAGCAAGAGGGCAAAAAACAAACACAAAAAAGAACAGTTCTGATTTACTGCATCCCAGTCATTACACAGGAGCAAGAGAAGCAAAGGAACACTTACTGAGACCACACACAGTAGTGATGTAATGAGTGGAAAGTGCAACGAAGGAGGAGTAAAAAGGCTCATACTGCTTGTCGTGGTGCAGGATCTCAGATTCACTGCAATGGAGAAGGGGAGAAGTCAGTTGAAGCCAGCCCAGCAGCACCACCCAACACCCCACTGCAGCCAGGCACAGGGTAAGGCAAGGGAGCAGCTCTGGGAACAACCCTCGTGTCCTCAGAACTCAGTCCTCTGCAGCAGCCCCATCACGGCATCAGCATCACCATACACTTGGGAAACTGAAGGAAATCATTTCAGTACTGCCAATGTTTCTCCTCTACAGCATCAACAGGTCAGCTCTCCCAGTTGCACTCCCTGCCAGAGGCTCATTAACCTTTAAGTTGTTCTAAGCTCAGCTGCCCAGAGTGCCTGGACTGTGTGTTCTGCTAACGCTGGCAGGATTGCCAGGCCTGGAGCACAGGCATTCCCTTTCTGTCACAGCATGGAGGCAACTGGAGTTTGTGCAAGTCTGCAAATCAGAGGGATCAAACCAGGCAACTGCAGAACCTCAACACTGCACCTGCAACCAYCTGGGGAGGGAAGGGTTTGGGCAGGTAAGGCAAAGTCCCTGAGGCYTCTCAGCGAGACTCAGAGATCAGCCACTTACGGCAGTGGTGACACCATAAAGGTGTCCCACCCCATCCCACCTGCACAGACATGGAGAACACAAACTGCTCAGCCTCCACRCCTAGCTGTGCCCCTGGTTTGTCCTGTGACAAAATTAAGGGATGTGCACATCTGCCTATTAAATGATCAATTTACTTTCTTTCACATTGTCATACAGTGATGTGAATGAGCAAGTTGGAAGAAAAGATTATTCCATTCAGCTTCACTCTGCCTCTCCAAACRTAGCCAGGCTTCTCCACCTTTGGGACAGAGGTTATTCCTGGAGGGCAGGTGGGGAGCAGAGGGCAGTAGCCCATGGCACAGGCTGCACCCAACTCCAGMCACCATTTCACCATTCCCTGGTGACCTGAACAAAACCAAGTTTAAGCCTAATCACCTTCCCTTTTTCCACCCTAAGCCATCACTTCCAGCTCTAAGGGGACATGCAGCTGAAACACAAACAACTCTGGAATGGAACCCTTTCTCCACAAAAACGAGCAGAAGGAAATACTCATCAGCTTCRTACTTTGATTTCCTAGGTCTGAGGTTTTATTTACTCTGCCTAAAARGCTGAAATAGAAACAGAAAATGAAGAGAGAGGCTTTACTGGAAGATATTCAGCAGTGTCACACGACCAAGTTCCAACACCTCAGGCCTCACCTCACCCYCTCCTGCCTGGTGGGGAACAAGCCYAGAGACTGAACRYGCAGAAGAGTCTGTGCTCTCTCCTTTTCARACACTAATTTTGCTCACCTGCCTCTCAGGCCCAACTCCAAACCAGCAGCAGTAGATGTATGTAAGTATGGTTAGGAGAACAAATTAGACCTATTTGGGAATAACAGAGTACAGGAGAGACTGACAGCTCCTAAATTACCACATAGGTCAAGATGTGCAACACACAGTGCCCACAGGGTATAGAGAACACAGAGGTGCAGAATCCAGCACGAGATACAGATTGGGCAGTGAGAGGTTTGAGTTTTACTAGAACACATTGTGGATGTTATGATAGCACAAAGTAGAAGGCAGCTGTCAAGTAATCACCAATCCTTGCAAATAACCATCAACAGAAGATAACAGCTCAATCTGGGATGTGCCAGTTATTTGGAGTACACATTGAGATTTAACAATGACTTTCAGCCTCTGTGCTGTGGTTTATCGCTTAGAGGGGTTTTGCTCCCCAGGCAAGCTCATTGAGGAGAAGCCTCTGTGTCACTACCAATGTTTTTCAGCAGCAAATCCCAACCTCCTGCCTCAGCTCGGCCCCCAAATCCCAACCAACCCTCAGACACCCCCTGTCCTTAGGGCAGTGGGCACAGAGCAGCCTCCTCCTTGGGAAGGCACCGCTCCAGGTGCAGGGGAACCCCTTCTCCAAAAACCAGCGTGGAGTGACTGTCACAGCTCCTCTCCAGCTGCACCTTTCCATCACTTATATCAAACAGGGGACTCATTTCTATCAATTCTTGATGACACCTGCTAACAAACGAATACCAGTAACCTGCTGATGCTTAAACTTAGAAATTAAATACAAGAGTAGTTAAAAAAGGAGTTCATTGATTTATTTTGAAAAGGACAACACTGGTGATGTCGCTGTGATTGCACCAAGTTTATTTAAGGGGAAATCCAGCCACTTTGGRGTTGGCTGACATCAGCTTAACAAATGCCTTCTAAAAATAACTTGGACAGATAAAAGATTTTCTGTGAAAAATCTAAAGATAGACTCTCGTTCAGCACAGAAAAGCACAGCTCCAGACAAGAACAAGTATTTATTCTTTTGTGATTTAGCATGCCATGCCAAGGCATGAAACAAAAAGTACCACCCTGCAAGAGCCCGAATCCTGCCAGATCATTGGACACACAACTCCAACCTCAGGCACTGCTGCCTGAAGGCAACAGACTACTGTCTGAGGTGGAAAACAGAATCCACATTCCCTCCAAATGAGGAAACACCCCTCTTCCAGAACTCAAGAAGATCCACTCAAGTGACCCTGGGATATTTTGATGAAACACTCCACCAGCGGAGCCAAAGGAACAGCAGAACTGCTCAAAGAAAAGAGTCACTGGAAGGGTCCCTAAAACAAAGACCAGCCAAAGAATTGCTCAAGCCCATCAACACCGAGTGTGCAGCTTCTGGAGGAACAACTGCTCTGTGTCTGCAGGCACAGAACTCCTTCAATTGAACTCTTTGAATCTGAAGCATCCACTGCACACTCAGCCATTCTATATTAAGGAAAACACCACAAGGCTTTATTTTATCATCATCCCGACTGCAGTGTTTATTTTATGTTTCCTAACAACTTATTGTGGCCRGGGTTATATCTCTGTAACTGAGTATGATGTTGTGGCATTTACATCTCGCATTTTAGATCATAAAAGAAGCTGTAAGTTGAATTAAGTAGCTGCGGTGGGTACTCTTATGCTCTGAGTCCAACCTGTGTGGTTAAGACAAGACAGACTTGATTTGGTTCTGCTTTATTTGTACTTAAAACAGGAGAGGTACTGCAGTGGTAAAGACTTAGAGGGAAGTCTGGTCCCCTCCGAGCCCGGTGAGACAACACTTCCCACGGCCCAACCGGGCAAACTGTGACACGCCTGGACAAAAGCTAAACCACAAGAACAGTCCCGAAGCCTCTCGGCGGGCGCCTGTCCGAGATGCTGCGGCCGGGCGAGCACCCTCAGCCCGTTATGGGGCCCGAGGGCGCCTCCGAGAGCTCCGGCCCCGGGACAGCGGGAGGAGCCGGCCACAGAGCTCGGGGCTTTGCCCGGGCTGCCGCAGCCCCGCCGCTTGCGCTGCCGGGCACCGGGCACCGAGCCGGGCACCGGGCACCGAGCCGGGCACCGAGCCGGGCCCCGCCTCAGCCGCCCCTCAGCCGCTCCCGCAGCGGCACCCCCAGCGCTCCCCCTGAGCGGGCGACACCGAGGGGCGGCAGCCCCCGCCCGCGCTCCCTCACCTCTCGATGACCGAGGCGAGCAGCTGCGGCAGCTCCTTCATGTCGAAGGCCGAGTAGGACGCGGAGAGCAGCGGCCGCACGGCCACGTCCCAGCCGGGCCCGGCCGCGGCCCCCGCGCCGCCCGCCGCCATCTTGGGCTGCGCTGAGCCGGGGGCCGCGGCGCGCACAGCGCCCCCTGCCGGCGGGGCGGCGACCGCGCAACGTCGCGCCGCCCCATTGGCCCGCGGCGCGAGCGCGTGCGCACTGCGTGAGTCAGCAACTTTGGCGCGCGGCGCGTGCGCGGCGCGGGGARGGCGGGGCGGGAGCCGCGCATGCGCTTTGTGCGCGCCCCGCCTCCGTGCCCGCCCCGGGACAGGGAGGGCTTGGACCGGCCCCAAAAATCATCCGATAGCCCCAAAAACACTTGATCGACAAAAAAAAACCCGCTTCGAGAGTCCCCCCGAAACACTTAAATAATGCAAAACCCCCCCCACTTAAATAGCCAAAAATCCCCACTTATGTAGCCCCAAAACCCCGTTGAAATAGTTCCATAAACCACTTAACTAGTCCCCAAAATCCACCTCAGCGGTCCCCAAAAGCCACCTCAATCGCTCCAAAATCCCACTTACATATTCCCAAAACTCACCTCGGTAGCCTCCAAACCTACCTAAATCGCCCCAAAAAACCACGTAAATACCCCTGCAAAATCACCTAAATAACCCCTAAAATCACCTAAACAGCACCCCCAGTCACTTAAATAGCCACAAATGCTCACTTAAGTAGCCCCAAACCCACCTAAAAAGCTCTCAAACTACTTAAACAGCCCAAGAAATACTTCAACAGCCCAGACYGGCTCCCTGCTCCACAGCTTTATTTTGGGATCTGGACACTGGGAAGGGGTGGGAGGGACACAGCCTCTCCTGGGGGAACAACTCGCTGCCAAACTGGACCATAACAATTTAAACCCACAGAGTTCATTAATGCAGGCCCGAGGGGCTCCTCCCCTTGGACCACCTCACTTTAACCCAGCAGTGCATACAGAAAAAGAAAAAGCAGGAGAATTTAGAAACAAATGGGAAGGAACTGATGTTTTCATAATAATAAATAAACACGGAGAGGCTTTAGGTTCAAATTCCTCCCACTGCTCTGCAGCTTCATCAGTGGCTCCATGAGGCTGTTTCCCAGTGACAGTCACCCCATTCCCAACATTTTTCCTGAGGAAATCACCCAAGGTCTCTTCCTTACAGCAGGAGCTCGATCCACATCTCAGCAGCCAACGACGCTCACCCCCCTCTCTGCCAGATGTGGGCACAGCTGGCGCTGAGGAAGAGCCCAAGATGGGCAGGATGCACATCCTTAGTGTTCACCAACAGCAGGGACACACTGATTTGGGGGCTTTAAGGGAAGGTTGGGACCTCTTCCAGTCAGAACAGACTAAAAAAAGTCTCAATTTTTCATCTCTTCCATCTCTCCTCATGAGAGACGTGCGGGCAGTGTGGGTTTTTGTTCCACCAGCAGCTTTTCCTCASTGAAATCTTCCAATCCAAGGTGTTTGGATCCATCCCTTGGGGGAGCTGGGATCCCAGCAGAGCCCTCCAGGCCATCCCAGCCCAGCTGCTGTCCAGGCTGGGCCTCCCTCAGCGCCAGGCCCGGTTCAGCAGCTTCACCTGGGCCAGCCTCTTGGTGATCATGGTGGCAAAGACCAGCCCGAAGAGGACACTGCTGATGAGCACATAGTCATAGTCGTCCTTGAGCACGTCAAACTGCTTGGAGGGGTACACTCGWGTCTGGAAGATGTCCAGCCCGTAGGCCACCACCTGCAGCGGGGAGAGAAGCAGCTGGGGATGCAGCTTGGAGCACAAAAACCCAAAATGCTGCACTCAGGGCTCCAGTTCGATGCTGAAGCCTCATTCACATTGTGGGAATGACAGAGCTCCCTGCCCCAGGCCATGGATTGGCCTTTTCCAGGGATCACCCAGAGTAGGTGACACAGGAATGCATCCAGGATGTGGAATGTGTCAGAGAGGAAGACTCCACCCCCAAATTCCACGAGGAGGCCTCCCCACTGCACTCACCAAGCACGTGGACTCGAGGCCGGAGGGGGCTGTGTAAATGCCCCTCATCCTGGATATGGTCTGGTTGTAGTTGATGAACCTCTCAGCGTGGATCTGCACATCTGGGGAGTAGGGGATCAGGTTCTCCTCCCTGCAAGGCACCACAGGAGACATCAAACCCCAGCCCAGCAGCACTGAGGGGATGGCAATGGTGTTTTCTACTGTGATCATCAAAAGCTAACCCAAACCAGCAACTTTGGGAGATTGATTATTGCTGMAGGATGAAAATCAAATACATCAGCTGGGTCAGATTAAACTGCAGCCACCTCCTTTCAGGCTTCCAAAGTTTTAAAAATAGGTGTAATTCTGAAAAATACAGTTCCTCTGACTGCACCCCCCTAAGAGTGCAGATCCCAGGCTGGTTTAATGGCTGACCTGCTGTAATACAGACAAACCATCACAGACTGGGAACAGAAGCACAGGATCCTTCAGGTTGGGAAAGACCTCCAAGATCTTTGAGTCCAACCTTTGACCTGAAGAAACCTCCCTTCAAGCAAAGACTGCCCTGAATCCAACCAGGATGAGTTCCTCTTCACACAACACATGACACACAAAATGCAGCCCTCCCCATGTCCAAGGAGGAGAGGCTCTCACTCCTTCCCTACCTGCTCTGCTCYGTCGGGATCTCAGGGCGCCGAGGGTCCAGCAGAGCCTTGGGAAGGGACAGGATGGCCCCGGAGGGAAGCCCAACTGTGCATGGAAGGAAAAGCATCTCAAAAATCACAGAATCTCAGAAGGGTTGGGGTTGGAAGGGCCTTTTCTAGGGATCACCCAGACCAATCCAGGGTCACCTGGAGCAGGTGACAGGAATGCATCCAGGTGGGTTTGGAATGTGTCCAGAGAGGGAGACTCCACAGCCTCCMTGAGCAGCTGGGCCAGTGCTCTGCCACCCTCAAGGGAAAGAAGTTCTTCCTCATGCTGGGGTGAAATTTATTGGCTTCTGATTTATGGCCCCTGCTCTTCTGGGCACTACTGGGAAGAGTCTGTCACCCCAGGGTCATTCCAACAGCCGACAGAAACATTCTCCTGCTGCTCATCCCTGCACTTGCAGGAGCCCAGGACAACYCTCAGGGATTTTTGGCAGCCAAGTGAGTTTGGCTTGGATTCCAGTGCTCCCAGAGCAGCTACTCACTGAGGAGGTGGCGGCTGGTGATGCCCCGCTCGGTGATGGTGGCCTCCATGGCACTGATGGCAGAGGGGAAGATGTAGGATTGCTGCAGCACYTGGGGCAGGATGGGCCGGTCCAGGGAGCTGAAGGCCGTGGCRTTGTACTGCTCTGTGCCCTCGTAGAGCTCCAGCACCGTCAGCTCGTTGCGCCGTGCCTTCGTGTTCCAGTACTGGTACTGCCAGGATGGTTTGGGGAGTGTCAGGGGAGCAGCCAATGGTGCAGGGAAATCACAGGGGGTGCTCAGGAAGCTGCCTCCAGGCAGGTTCAGGAGCTGCCYCTCATCCCAAAAAAGATTTYTGCTTTTTAKAYATTTTCCATMTATTCATAGCTCTGTAGACTAYAATTACATARTTATAGWGCTCCTTAMCTCACTGTAGCACCTTCCCAGCCCTTCCCTTGGATTTTAGAATAAGTTAAGGTTCCTGGAATCTATAAATAAGATTCCTGGAACCTTATTTAGCCATACCTCTGTAGCGATCCAAGGAGAGCTCATTTTCTCCATATATCACAGACATAATAAATGGGGGTTAGAAACTAGGGGAGGCTTCAGTAGGGGCAGAACCAAATCCCCAGGGGGATTACTTAATTAACTGTCCCTCTAACAGGATAATTAAGTTGTCAGAATCCTGCCTCATGTGTGCATTTTGCTGCATTTGCACCATGAAGGACTTTCATTAAAACATAACCACTTTTGATTATCATAATGTTGACTGGCCTGTGATTTTGGCTGTCAGCCCAAAGAAGAAGGAGCTCTCACCACCACCCAGTTCTCGGAGTGCACCATGTGCACGGGCCCCTTGGCCTTTTTCTGCACAGAGGAGTGGATGATCCTGCCCGTGACCCCGTCCATGAGGTAGATCCCGATGAAGGTGCGCTCGTGGTGCGTGTCCGTGCTCTCGGTCACCACAGCCAGCAGGTTGGGGTTCAGGGACTGGGGACAAAGGACAAACAGTTGAGACCTCCCCTTTCAGCGCCACAGACACCTCCTTCCTGAATTTCATCTGGCACTGGGCATATTGTGAATATATCAGCACAGATCAGCTCAAGAAACCAAGCTGTTAATTCCCCAGTATCAGGCTCTGATTGACTTAATTGCTGCATGAAAACATTTCAGAAAAGAAACCTCCACCCAAATGAGCATTTTTCTGTGCCCATAAAGAAAACCTGGCACCACAAGGCAGCTCATCCCAACGCAGCAGCAGGGAATGGGACTGAGATCTTCCAATGGGATAATCCCTCAACAAAAGGCACCCCAGAGACACACAGGCACCTTGTAGAGAACGCTGCGGTCGCCCATCACGCGGCCCTGGGAGTGCACGTGCTCGTTGGACCTCTTCCCTTTGACAGTCACAATCCTCTGCACCTCAGTGGGGATGGCCACCTCCCAGCTCTCCTCCGTGCTCAAGTCCTATAGGGAAAAAGCCTGTGGGAGCTTGTCCTCCAAACACACCATGTCCAGAGCAGGATGTGGCTGTCCCTGCTCTGGGATTTCACAAGTTTCTTCAGCATGTTTTGAGGCTGAACATTCCAGTTCTGGGCAAAGCTCCATGAAGGAAACAGGGATCTGCCATTATCTACAGGGCATTTAGGGAAGTKGCATCCCTGGGACTGTAATGGGTCTTCCATACCTTTTTCAACCTGAATCCAGAGAGTTTTCCCTGCTCAGCATCAACCAGATAAAAATAGATGGAATGGGCAATTTCTTCTAACTGGCGAAGGACGTTTTTAGTGGCTGGGAAAGGTGTAACCTGGAAAAGAAGAATTAAAACACAAGTTAAAAACAACTGGTACACACACAAAAAATTATCCCAGAAAGATTATTTCTAACGTGTTTATCACGATAAGGTCTGTTTTACCAGAAAAACCTCATACTTCTGWGTGAAATGTGGCTCAATGGCATTTTTTACCATCTTGCTCCAGAAGGGAGTGGAATAATTAACCAGAACATGAGGAGAACTGCCTCCAGGCAAARCAATTTACCTTGTACTCATCATCAATCAGCAGCAGCACTTTGGCATAGTCTTGATCCATAATAGGCAGAAGCAAAGTCTGGAGAATTGGACGCTTCAGAACAGGAGGGGCTACTTGGCTTTTCTTTCCAAAGATGGGGTTAAAGACGTACAGAAAACTCATTTTGGTTTCCTGAAAAACAGGAAAAGTTTTGCCTCTTGTCTAAGTCAAAAAARAGATATTTTTCTAACTGTTCTTTGCTGGTGTTGCCTATTCATACCCTGGGTTCAGTTATTCCATCATGAAAATTCTCTCTTTGACACACACATTTGTCCAAACATTTATCTCACATTTGTCTATCAAAAATGTGTCTGCTCCCTTCCAGATCTCTCTCCCCTCCCATCCTCACATCAGTGACAACCAGATGATGCCCCAAACCACAGTTTTATTGTCCTGTGCAGTGGAGGGACAAAGAAAGGGCCTCACCTTGTCCTTCACGAGCAGAGTGCACTGGGGAGGGTGGGGGAAATGGGCTGTTGTTCTCTGCACCATMAGCTTGAAGGAGGAGCCTGGTTTCACATTCCTGAGGTACTGCTTCCACAGGATGGTGCCTGAGCTGCTCTCAATGCCAAAAAGCTGAGGAAAGAGGCACAGGAAAGCCAAAGTTTAGGAAAACACACCTCTCCTATTCAAGCACTGCATCTTACTCTGTCACATCCCAAAGAATGCCAAGCCTTAGTTCCTCTTTAAAGCCACCACAGAACACCCAGATTTCTGCCCAAGCCTGGCTGAAAACAGAAWCCACAGGACTGAAGAACAATCRCCCAACTTGTCCTACTTTRTTTCCAAGAACTGGCTGATTGGAAAGAAGCATGAACTMAACAATGCATCCAGGAGAGAATGAAATGTTTTTTTTTTGCTTCCCAAATAATCAGCTTGTGGCAGAAAAGGTACATGAGAAGAGAGCTAGCCTAGCTGCTCTGTGTTTTGGGAATCAATTCATGATGAAGAATGAACAGGAATTATTCCCAGGCCTGGGAATAATTAAATATAATTATAATAATAATTAAAAAATTATAATAAATTAAAAATAATAAAAAATAAAATTAAAAATAATTAAAAATAATAAATATAATTATAATAATAATTAAAGCTGAAGCTCTGTATTCAAATACAGAAACAGATTCCCACCCTGGGCTCCTCACCTTTCCCGAGGCAGTGACCATCACCATCATTTTCTGCAGGTTGAATTCATCCCTGGCCAAATTGTCAATGTTAATCTCATTTTTAATCTGGCTCCGGGGCTTCCTGGCGTCGTAGAACATCTTCCAGAGGTGAGCAGTCCAGGCTTGCAGCAGGATGAGCTGGGATGAGAGGCGCTTCAGGAACATTCCCAGCAAMCCATCTGCAAACAGCACTGGTGGTGACAACAGCAGGGAAAACACACACACCACCCCACAACTGAAACCACAGTGTACAACACTGCCATGCACAAACCTGGGCTGACTCCCTGCCTCCCAYTCAGCTGCCATTTCTGTGACAGATTCTGGCATTCACCAACCTTCCCCACTCCACACTGACTCCAAAATCCACCCTGACCAACTGAGAGCAAACCTTCATGCAGAGGGTTTTGTGTTCCTTCTCCTTGTGCCCACATAGAGCTCCCCCACTCTACAAAATCCCTCTGCACCCCAGACTCAGAGGAATTAAAATTACTTCCTTCTGCCCAATCAGGGTTTGTATTTAGCCTCTTAAAATAACCAAAACAGCAGATTTCAACTCTGTTTCAGCCCCGAGGAGAGCAAGCAGAGGGGAGCGGTGGCACCAGGAAGCTTTAGGCAGGAGCAGAGCACACTCCATGCAGGATGGGGTTACCTTGGATGGCTGCATCCAGGACAGCAAGGAAAGACAAAACAAAGCAGAAAAAAAAAAAAAAAAAGCAATTGGAAATGAGTCTTCCAGAAAGAGTCCCAGGAAACATTGAGGAGACATGGCCAAAACCCCTCCTACTGCCACTGCTTTTTTAATGTAACAGCATAATACATCCATCTCATCTGAACTGGATWTGCAAAGTTTAGACAGAAAAGGGGAAATTTCTGCTCATTTTAAATGCCATCAGTAGAGATTTAAATTCACCTCTCAGCTCAGAGTAAACAGAAAACAATACATACATTTATTTAGGAWGGAAAACAAATTTACAAAGATAATTCTGTTAAACTCACCTGCTTTTTTTCCAAATTCTCCCTCCAGCTCAGCCTGTGCACCTGTCAGAGGCAGATCCACCATCTCCAAGCTTACCACCTCTGCCAGTGACTCCTCCCTACTCCATACAACCTTTCCTGGAAAGAAATGAGAGCAGAATATTGGAAAAAACAACTTAATATCTGGGAATTGACTCACTCAATGTAAGGGTATCGTTCAGGGCACCCTTGAAATGCAAATAATTTCTTAATGAAATGCAAAACTGTATAAACATCTAACAACATTAAATCAACTATTTAATAAAACAAAAATATTTCATGCAACTGGACCCATTTCTGGGAAGAAAACCTCAGGATCACTAAAAGCAACCTGGTGTTTTAAAAGGGTTACAATCATTGAGTGTATTTAAAATAAGAGATTGGCAGTGTGAACTCCTAGATTCCTTTACAGCACCAGAAAATTCATGTCACTGAGATGGGACTTGCAACCCTTCCTGCAAATTAATGTTTTTGCCATGAGGATATTTTCTGGAAATCTTTGAGGAAGATCTGCACCAGGGCTTACACCTTCAAGCTACAAAAACAGTTTTAAAATGTGCAGAAATCCCCTGAAATCCACACAAAACAAGGCAGAACTGTTTGTCCAGGTGAGATGTCTTGCAAGAGTGAGAGATTCTCCTGTGTTTTTCATGGGATTTGGAACAGTTAAATTAATTCTTTCAGTTCCCAAGGAAAGGAATGATAAAATCCTTGAGAACATGGGATTTTCTCCTGGTGACTGTTCCAGCTGTTTGTGGGAGTCACCTGGCTGCTGCAGGAACATGAGCATGTGGTCCTCTGTCTGCACCAAGGCTCGATAGCCCACGGAGTCATCCTTCTTCAGGAAAACTTGGATGTACAGCTGGGAAAAACAGAAAAAAAGGTGAGGAAAACAGCAAGGTTAACGATCACATCATCTCAGAGAAAACAGAATTCAGGTGAAACAAGAGCAAACAGGGTGATGCTGCAACCCCTGGAATGCTTTTTCCATCTTGCTAAATCAGGGAAGGAGGGCACTGCAAGCACTGAAACAACCCCTCCCTGCTCACCTGCTGAGGCTTGGCCCCTCCCTGCTCCAGGGTAAAGGTGATGGTGGTATCCAACAATCTCTGTCCTGTTTCCACCAGGTAGAGGTTGATGTTGTAGGTTTGGTTGGAGCAGATTAAGGAATCCTGGAACAAGGGGCAGAGAACAGGGGTTACACACCCACCACAGCAAACTCTGCAGCAGCATTCCAGCAGAATGCCACGGCCAGCAAAAACTGGGGCTTTGAGACATTTTTAGGGTATATTTTTAGTTGTAAGGGGCTATTTTTAGGTTCTTTAGCTGGTGTAAGATCTCTGTCACTCTGTTCCTGCAGGTGAAGGAATGAAATGGACCCAGAGGAATTCAGGAACAGGAGTACCCCGTACCTGCCTGCGGGCATCCTCCAGAGCACTGCCACCATCAGAGCTGCCAGGTTTCTGAAGTGAGGATGACAAGAGATGGAACATGGCTTCAGACATCAGTAAAAGCATAAAAAAATAAGGGTTTTGAGTGCTTGACAAGGCTCAGCTTGACTGTGACATCAGGCAGGAAATGGTTCTGCTCTGTTCCATTTCTGATAAAAATGAAACTGTGTTTGGTATCCCCAAGAACTGAAACCCTCTGTGGATCTGTAAATGCAATTCTTTGTCACGTGCTCACCTTCCAAAGGGCTGAAACGGGACATTCACTGAGCCAGGCACAGCCTGAGCTGGGCATAATCAAATCATGCTTGTGTTATCACCAAACCTCATCAAATTCTCCTCTTCCTCAAGGGACTCCCCATCCCTGGGCCTGTGGAACCACTCCCAGTTCACACCCAGARTGAAAATTCCTGGCCCCAGAGCACAGGAATTGTGCTCACCAGTTCACTCCTGCATGTCAGGACAGCAGCCACTGTCTTCTCCCCRGTCGTTGCAAAGCTCACCAGAGCTGCCTGGAAAGGAGAAAAAAAAGTAGCATGAAATAATTAAAAAAATGCTAAAAAAAAAACCCAAACCCCACCAAAAACTACTTGTGAGATAAATAAAACCACAATGGAATTAAGAGCAGATGAACTGTCACAGCCAAATTTTAAATTGTATTGTTTCCCCAAATAAAGTACTGTTTCCCCAAATAAAATAAAATAAAATAAAATAAAATAAAATAAAATAAAA